GCCCCGCCGCACCGGAGCCGGAGTCGGGAGCCGGAGCCGGGCAGGGCAGAGGCTGGGCGGTACCGTTGGGCCGGTGGTACCGGTTGTGGCGGAACCGGGCACGGTCCCGGTGAGGTTGCCGGGTAGGGGAGGGCGATGCGGTTTGGCAGGAGCCGGTGGTTTGGGCGACCGAGGTGGTTGGCTGGAGGTGGCCCACCCGCTGCCCTTTGGGCTACCCAGAGCCCTTCGCTGGCCCCGGGGTCGGGCGGCACCGGGAGCCCCACGTGCAGGGCCACGGCGTGCCGGGGGCTGCCGGTACGGCACGGCTGCGGTCCTTGGCCCGTTCCCCCCAGCGAGTGACCTCGAAGCCGCGAGGTGCGGCAACGGGAAGCCCCCCGGGCACGTTCACCGCCGAGCGCTGCCCTTGGGGACGGGGACCAAGTCCCGGTCCCACTGCAGCCCAGTTTGGCTGCCGCGGCACAATATGGTGCGATGCTGTTGGGGGCTGCGGGGGCCACCGCGGGAGGATGGGAAAACCATTCCCCACACCTGGCCCGCGGCCAAGCCGTCGGCATCGGCAATCCCCTCCTCTTGCCGACAGCCCCAGCGGGATCTTTAATTACTGCAAGCGGCACGAGGCCGCAGCTCCCCGTCTCGTGCGAAGCACGAGGGCCGGGGCCGTGCCGTGGGGTGCTCCTGTGGCACCCGGGGTCCCTTGGGTGCCACCACCCTGGGACGGGGTGAAGGGCTGGATGCGGCCGGGGACTGGCTGCCCACAGCCCCATAAAATCCGTTTGTAATGTGGTTAATCAAGTCGGACCCGTAAGAGCTTGTCGGCGGCCCCTGCAAGAAGGGACGGGCTGGGGTGCCGGCTGTGGGTGCGCAGCGCCCGCCTGCTGCCACCCTGTTAATCATTAACGAAGAAATAAACTGTGCGGAAAGGTGCTTGACCCGGGAGCAGCCCTGCGATATCGCCCTGCCTTCGCCTTTCACCCCGGGGGCTAAACTCTCCTCCTGGCCATGCCGCGGCGGCCCCGGTGTCTCCCGGCAGCGCACCTTTCACCTTGACTTTGGGGGCAAAGTCCGGCAGGCAGGGCGTGGAGCTGCGGCAGCGGCAGGCTGGGTGACCCCACGCACCCCTGTCCCCCCCCTCGGCGTGCCCTCGGGGCAGGCCTGTCCCCGTGGGGCACCCCACGCTGCGCTCCCAGCTCGGGCCGGGTGAGGATGCCGATGCCAAGCGGAGCAGCCGGCGATGCCTACGCTGCAGGGACGGGCTCGGACCGAGCGGTGCCGGGACCTTCGCGGTGCCTTGTGCCACCATCCTTGGCATTCCTAACCCACGCGCCGGGGCTGGCGTCTCCATCGGGGGGTTAAGGGAAAGGCGAAGCAAAGCAGGCTGGCTATAAAAAAACCCCAGCAAAGCACCGAGCCCAGAGCCGGGGCGCAGCAGAGGTGGATGGATTACGGCTCCGGCCATAAATAAAACCTCCATTTCCTCCTGTCTGGAGGGATCTCTGCTCACCAGGTACCTGCTAACGCGGCCACGCCGAAGTGCCCAGCAAGGGCTGCCGCGGTCAGGGGAGCAATGCCTGGCTGAGAAGGGGCCAGGCTTGGGGGGGGTCCCAGTCCGGGTGTGGGGGGGGCACCCCCACCTGCAGCTGGCCCCGATTCTCCTTTCTCTTCTGTCAGGCCGTGATTTATGGCCCTTTCCCTGCCGCTCCCCCGCCTCCTCGCCCCCTGCAAAAAATAATAATCCAGGAACAAAGGAGGAAATTGGATCTTCTCCCCCGCGCAGCTCCTGGCCCCGCGGTGGGAGCCGGGTTTGTTTTGACGTCGGTGTCCAGTTGGCGAAGGCGTTTGATCTCCGGAGGAATTCCTCCTTCCTCGTGCTGCTCCGCTGACTCTGCCACACAAAAGGGCCCCCGGGAGCCGGGAGCTGCCGGCGTGTTTCGTGCCGCCCCGACGCCCCCGGGAAGGGTCCGGCATGGCAGAGGCGCCCGCCGGGGCTCGGGGAGGTTTCCGGGCTCTGTGTCGGACCCAGATCCAGTGCGAGGATGGGTGGCGGTGGTGTCCCCCCGCTCCCCGGCAGCCTTTGGGCTGGAGGACGATTGAGCAACCCTTGCCAAAATGTGCAGGGGCAGGGCCGGGTTCGTGGCTGTGCCGCCGGAGAGCTGGGTGCCGGCACTGCCGGAGAGTGGGGTGCCATCACCAATGGAGAGCTGGGTGCCAGCACCAATGCAGAGCCAGCTGCCGGCACTGCCGGAGAGTGGGGTGCCATCACCAATGGAGAGCTGGGTGCCAGCACCAATGCAGAGCCAGCTGCCAGCAGCACCGGAGAGCCAGATGCTGGCACCACCAGCCCTGACCCAATTACCGGCATCCCGGTTAGCATCACTCTGGGCTGGGGGGCAGCCATGCCGTCTCCCGAACCCACATGAGAGCTGCCGGCAGCGGTGCTTCCCAGGGGCTTAGATAGATACCACCCTGTCCGTCTGTCTGTCTGTCCCCTCCAGGCCCCAGCGTACCCCCATGGGGACCTGCACCCCGACACGGGGCTGTGCCTGCATGGTTTAGGTCAATCCCCTGATTTTCAGCCGTCGGGCAGGATCTGGCCCCACTCTGCCCTGGAGCAGCTTGCAGAGCTCCCAGCCCCTCTTTGCCGTGGGGCCGAGGGTGCTGCATTCCGAGGGCCGGATTCTGCCGGCGGGTGTGTGGGCATGTGCGTGCATGCCGTGGGCGGCGAGAGCAGGCATTGAACTGCTCCGGAGCTGGCGGGTGGGGGGCAAAAGGGCCTTCA